AAAAAAAAATACACTATGGTTGTGATAAAAAAAAAATAAGTAAATAAATAAAAAAAAAAGAGAAAAAAAAATAATAATAATTCAGACAAGCAAGGTTAACTTAATTCCAACAAAATAAATATTTAAAATAGTAAGACTAATTAAAAGGGGAGAAAATGTATACCCTGTAAGCAGTAAAAGTTTGGTGTAGCTACATCAATATTAAAAAAAAAATAGACTTTGAGACAAAGAGTATTCCAGATAAAAGTAGGTATATTTTTTATTGAAGTATAGTTGATTTACAATATTATGTTAATTGCTGTTGTACAGCAAAGTGATTCATATATATGTATATCTTTTCATATTATTGTGGTTTATCACAAGATATATATATGTGTGTATATATATATATGGATATATATATAGTTCCCTGTGCTGTACAATAGAATTTTTTTATCCATCCTATTTATATTAAAAACTCACTTTATAGCCAAAAGCACAAATAAGTTAAAAGTGAAAGGATGCAGGAAAAATTATGCATGAAAATAATCAAAAGAGAACTGAGGCAGCCTAACTAATATCAGACAAACTGGGCTTTAAGACAACAAATTTTCCAAGAGACAAAGAAGGAACTTACACATTGATTAAAGAGTCAATCCATCAAGAAGCTATTATATATAGCAATTATATACATACATATGCTTAACAACAGAGTCCCAAAATATGTGAAGACAAAATTGACAAAATTGAAGAGAGAAATAGACAGTTCCACAATAATAGTTAGAAACTTCAATACCAAACATTCAATAATAGGTAGAACAACTAGATGGAAGATTGATTAAGAAAGTAGATTTGAACAACATAAAAGCCAACTCAATCTTATAGAAGCATATAGAACACTTCATCCAACAACAACAGAATATACATCTTTTCAAGTGTATGCAAAACAATCTCCAGTATAGACCACAGGTGCAGCCACAAAAGCAGTCTCAATATATTTTAAAAGGTTTAAATCATACAAAGTAATTCCTTTGGTCACATGTAATAAAATAACAAATAACAGAGGAAAAGTGGAAAATTCAGACATCTTAAAATTAAACAACACACTCTTAAATAACTAATGGATGAAAGAAGAAATTGCAAGGGACATTAGAAAATATTTTGAAACAAAAAATGAAAACACAAAATACAAAAAGTTATGGGATGCAGCAAAAGCAGTGTCAAGGAAAAATTGAAGCTTTAGATGCCTACATTTAAAAAGAAGAAAGATCTCAAATCAAAAAACTTAACCTGACACATTCAAGAAGTAGAAAAAGAAGAGGAAAATAAACACAAAGCTAGCAAAAGGAAGGAACTGATAAATATTAGAGTCAGTTAAGTAGAATCAAAATTAGAAAAATAAAGAATCAATAAAATCAAAAGTTGGTTCTTTTAGGAGATAAACAAAATTCACAAACTTTTTGCAAATATTTGGGTTTTTACAAATTGAAGGTTTTGGCATTGTCAGATGATGGTTAACATTTTTCAGCAATCAAGTATTTTTATTTAAAGTATGTAGATTGTATACAATATCACTATTATATACTTAATAAACTACAATACAACGTAAGCCCAATTTTTAAATGTATTGAGAAACCAAAAAAAAAATTGTATGACTCACTTTATAGTGATATTCACTTTATTATGGTGATTTGGAACTGAGTCCACAATATCTCTGAGTTATACCTGCAAAGAGAGTTAATCAGTAATCAAAACTTCCCAACCAAGAAAAGTCCAGGACCAGATGGATTCACTGGTGAATTATACCAAACACTTAAAGAAAAATTAATACCAATCTTCTCAAACTCTTCCAAAAATTTTATGCATTTTATGAGGTCAGCATGACCCTAATACCAAAGTCAATCAAAAATAATACAAGAAAACAACTAACACAACTTGTAAATACAGATATGAAAATCTTCGACAAAATACTAGCAAACCAAACCCAGCAACGTATTTAAAGGATTATGTACCATAACCATGTGAAATTTAACATAGAAATGCAAAGTTGGTCCAACCTTCAAAAAATTATATAATACATCACATTAATAGAATGAAAGTAAATATATTCATATTCATTCCAATTGATGCAGAAAAAAATAATTTGACATAAGCCCACACCCTTTAATGATACAAACTAGGGAGAAGGGAATTCCCTCAACATGATAAAAACCTTTTATGAAAAACCCACAACCAACATCATAATCAATGATGAAAATCTGAAAGCTTTCCCACTAACAAACAAGACAAGGATTCTGCTTTCAGTATTTCTATTCAACATTGAAATAGTTCCAGCCAGAGCAACTAGGCAAGATAGCATTTAAAATTGGAAAGAAGACATATAACTACCTCTGTCTTCAAGTAGAAAACCCAAAAGACTCCACAAAAATATGAGAAAATTTTATCCATGAAAGAACACCATCAAGAGAATAAAAAAAAAAAACTACAAAATGGAAGAAAATATTTATAAATCATATCTCTGATAAGGGTTTGGTAATCCAGTAAGTATTATCTTGTAACTCACCAATCAAAAGATAAACAATCCAATTAAAATGTGGGCAAAAGACTTGAATAGATATTTTTTTAAAGAAGATACATAAATTACCAATAAGCACATAAAACGAAGCTCAATGTCATTAGTCATCAAGGAAGCTCAAGTCAAAATCACAATAAGATAGTACTTCACACCCACTAGCTTGGTTATAATTAACAACAACAACAAATGAAACTGAAAAACAACAGCGATGGTGATGATCTGGCATCTTCACACACTGCTGGTGGGAATATAAAATGATGTCATCACTTTGGGAATCAGTGTGGCAGTTCCTCAATAAGTTAAACATATTATTAAACCACGTGACCCATAATTTCCATTCCTAAGTATGTGCCTAAAAGAACTGAGAACGAATGTTCAAAAAAAGCTCATTCACGAATGTTCATGGCACCACTATCTGTGATAGCCTAAAGGTGGAAATAGCCAAATGTCTATAAGCTAATGGGTGCATAAACCAAATACAGTATATCCATACAATGAGATATTATTTAGCCAAGAAAAATGAAGCACACACTATAATTTAGATGAATTTTGAAAACATTATGCTAAGTGAGAGAAGCCCAACACACACACACACACACACACACACACACACACATTTTACTGTGTAATTCATTCATATGAAATACCCAGAATAAACAAATCCACAGAGACCCAAAACAGATTACCAGTTGAGAGGGCCAGGGAGCAGGAGGGGGTGGGGTGTTAAGTTGCCTCAGTCGTGTCCAACTCTTTGCAAACCCATGGACTGTAGCCTATCAGGCTCCTCTTCCCATGAAATCTTCCAGGCAAGAATACTGGAGTGGGTTGCCATTTCCTTCTCCAGGTGATCTTCCCCACCCGGGGATCCAACCCAGGTCTCTTAACATCTCCCACATTGGCAGGTGGGTTCTTTACTGGATGCTTAATGTATAAGAAAGCTGAGCACTGAAGAACTGCTGCTTTTGAACTGTGGTGTTGGAGAAGACTCTTGAGAGTCCCTTGGACTGCAAGGAGACCAAACCAGTCAATCCTAAAGGAAATCAGTCCTGAATATTCATTGGAAGGACTGATGCTGAAGCTGAAACTCCAATACTGGCCACCTGATGCAAAGAACTGACTCATTGGAAAAGACCCTGATGCTGGGAAAGATTGAAGGCAGGAGAGAAGGGGATGACAGAAGATGAAATGGTTGGATGGCATCACCGACTTGATGGAGGGGAGTTTGAGCAAGCTCTGGGAGTTGGTGACAGGCAGGGAAGCCTGGCGTGCTGCAGTCCATGGGGTCACAAAGAGTTGGACATGACTGAGCAACTGAATTGAACTGAATGTATAAGGGGTTTTCTCGAGGGTGATGAAATGTTCTAAAACTCCATAGTAGTAATGGTCACAGGACATTGTGTATGTACTCAATGCCACTGAATTGTACACTTTAAAATTTTAAATGGTGAATTTTATGCTATATGTATTTTAACACAATAAAAACAATAAGATACCACCAAAAAAACCCAGACTCAAATGTTACAATAGAAGTGTGCAATGTGTACAATCTCCCTCTTCTACACTAAAATAATTCACAAAATATTAACAAATAGAATCCAGCAATATGTAAAAAGATAATACATCATGGCAACAAAGTGCAATTTATCTTTATATGCAGGACGATTTAATATTTGAAAGGCACACATAACTTATCACAGTAACAAAGGAGAAAAATCATTGGATCATCTTAATGGATTCATCAAAAGCATTTGAAAAAACTTAACACTCATTCAAAAACCAGCTAAATGTCTCTGCCACTCTCTTTTCGTAGCTGGAAAAACTGGACCCCAGGAGGATCCCATGGGGGCCAGCAAATGGAACAAGGTTCCTCATGATGGTTCACCTGTAGCTTCATTTCGACCCACCCTGGGGGTGGCATCTTCCAGCCAGCCACCATCCCCAGGCCACTGGGTTTCCCAGAAAAGCCGGATGTTCATAGGCACGTGGTCAGACATATATGTGCACATACCTGTACATGTTCACACACATCTAGACAGTCCCAGAAATTCACACATGACACAGGGACAGAGATGCACAGTGGGAGTACTATTCACACTGACACACCACACCAGGCATCCCAGACGTACACCTCTCAGACACCCTGATTCTCCCAGCCCCACGCACAAATATACTTATGTCTACAGCACAGGCTCGGACACAGTGACCCAGGCAGAGATAGCGGTGGCGGTTCCTGCTCAGATATGTACACCCACAAACAAAGACATACACATCAGAGACACACACTGTCCGCCGCGGCCAGGAGACTCACACCGGCGCCACAATCACAGGCCTGGGCACTCCCCCCTCCCCCCGCCCCCCCAAGCAGACAGACCCACAGAGACAGCACAGACATACACCCACAGGTTCACACCCATCCTGCCGCACAAGCACAGGTGTGTTTACACACCCCGACACCCGCACACGTTGCACATGTGCTGAGAAACAGCGCGCTCTCCCGCGCACGTGCACGCACGCGCGCAGACACCGGGGCGCGCCCAGCACACAGGCAGCGGCTGCAGCGCGCGGTTCCCGGGCCAGTGCTGCCACACCGTGGAGACGCGGCATCCTCCCCGGGGCCCCCGCCCCTCTCCCCTCCTCGGCCCGGGCAGTCATGTGGATGAAAAGACAAAAATATGAACGGGGCGGGGGAGGCGGGTAGTGAGGAAGGGAAGGGGCAGAAGATGAAATAATAATACTGCTGGGTTTGTTCATTTCGGTGATAATTAGCGGTGCATTCACGCCGCCTCACCGGCCGCTCCCGGCTGATCCCGCGTGATGGATGCCTGGTGGTGCTGAATGCAAATTAGCATAATTTCATTACCGAGGGACCCGTGAAAAGGTTCAATTATAGAGCAATCTCATTAATACCAGGGCTTGTTAAACTAATAGAAAGAGACAGGCCCCGCAGCTCCAAGAGGTAGGCATGTGCTCGGAATGCAATTAACGCTGGAACCCCTAGTACCTGGGCCACGCCTCACCCCCTAGGACCGACCCCTAGTGCCCTGCAGACTTGGGCTCCCAGAAAGGCAAGGGGCCCCCGAACTTGGTGGCCCAGAGCCTGATAAATAGACACCCATGGGAGAAGCAAAGCATCCAAGCTGGGTCAGCCTTTCCAAATCTAGCCTGAGGCTACAGATGGGGAGACTGAGGTCCACAGAGTGGTGACCCCAGGTCAGTGGCATCGGAGGCAGTGATGGCAACAGAGGGGGGCATTCAGGAGCGGGGAGGTGACGCTCATCCCTGTTTTAGGCCCTGGTCTACATAACAACCTCCCAGGAGCCCCTCCCACTCTGACTCAGTTTCTCCATCAGCACTTAGAAACAGAAATGAAGGTCTCTAGGAGGCTTTCTCTTATGAATTATCTGGCTTCATTATGTCATGAGAAAGAGAGGGCTGCTTGGCGTTCCTTCCTGTCCTCATGAATCTTATCAAAGCACAAGGACCAGCTTCAGCCCTTCCCCCTGCTGGAGCCAGACGCTTGAGACCCCAGCATCTCAAGAAGAGGGTCTGTGTCAGAGCACCGGACACCAAAGCCTCGGACCATTGGAGGAAGCAGAACTCCAGCACTGTTTCCTCCATCCCCACTCCCATCCAACCCCTCCCACTTGCACATCCAGCCTAAAGACCAGAAGGCACAGCTCTCTTTGAGGGAGGAACCACCGCTTTCTTCCCTGATGCTCAGGACTTGGATCCAGAGACCAGCACATTCTGCCTTTGGCATCAAAAAGTTTCTTAGGGATGTCATCTTTGCCCCCTTCTTCAATTTCAGCAAAAAGGGGTCATGCTTGACATTCAACTTCCCCCGCACTCCCCACCCCCCCCCCCCCCGCACCCTCAAAAACCCTTCACAATGACCTCAGGCACAGCTAGCTCCCTTCCCAGCCCTGGCGTTGAGCACACACCGAGTTGGGTCATATGAATTTGCTGTATTTTTTATCACCTCCGTAATATTTGATTTTTTTCCTGCAATTGTAAGTAAAACAGCACAAGTCCCAAAATACCCCCAAGCTGGAGAATGACTCACACTGTATATTACTGAACACATAAAAATATGCAGTGACTCAGAAGGGCCCAGCAGAAGCGACAACCCCCACAAAAGGCCCCATTGTTCAGATTCTAAAGGTAGAGGAGGGGGGCTCCCCAATCACCAACCCTGGCTCTGGCTGCTGACACTTGTCAAACGCCTGGCAGTCTGCGGTGTGATTGGATTCTCTCTTTTTCTCATGACATAATGAAGCCAGATAATTTCATAAGAGAAAGCCCCCTGGAGACCTTCGTTTCTGTTTCAAAATGCTGATTGGGAAAGATGAGGAGGCGACCTCAAAGACCATCTGGCCATAGGACCCCAAGACACTGAATGTCCAAAGGAGGGACTTCTGGTCACGCTGATATCCACCCCCTCTTAGGGGACCCTAGCAGAGCCTGGGATGGGGGACAGAACACAAGAGGAAGGACAGAGTGATGTGAAGAGGAACACGAGGCCCAGGATCCCAGGTCAGCCGTGATCGCTGGTCCCCACAGGCACGTGATTGGACCTTGGAAGGGGCCTGTGGAGCTGCAGGCAAGGCGGGGTCCTGGAGAGCCTCCTCTGACCAGGAAGGGCTTGGGAGCTACAGGAGGGGCAGCCAGCCCTGCAGAACCAAGACACAGAAGGGGAAATAGCATCCTCAAAGTTAGGAAGGTAAGCACCGGAAGCGCTGGAAATTAACACCGGGATGCTGTGTGAGTGGAATAGGCGTGAGTGTGAGCGTGGTCCTCCTGTGAGTGCAATCCTCATCCATCATAGCAGAAAGTCGATAGATAATGTCTAAAACTGATGAATCAGGAAATAGTGGCAGACATGCATTATTGAGAGATATGGGCAGTGCTCAGGAGACCAGGCTGGGAGTGAACGTGGAGGCTCTGGAAAGGAAGGAGACTGGGCTTTGCGTAGGAAGCCAACCAGCACTATTTCACTGTTTGAAATATTGTCTTAAAGGTCTGTTGTTTATGCTCCTGGCAGTGGCTCTGCTTCATCACCATCACCCTGAATGGTTTTAGTCACTCCCTGAGCACGTAAATGAGAGGGGCTGTTGCGTGTGTGTGTGTGTGTGTGCACACGTGCACACGTACACGTCCACACCTGTTCCATGCATCACATAAATCACCACTCTACTAGGCAGACATCCACCCAGTCTCTTTCTTATCTTCATCTCAGTCTCTCTTATCTACATATTTGGAAGCCTTTCCTTTCTGATGGTCTGAGGTTTTGTAAGGATGAAGTTGAAAGCCAGAAGACCCAGTTTCATCCTGGTTCTGCCACTTTCTAGCTGTGTGACCTTGAACAAGACACTCACCCTCTCTGTGTCAGGTTTTTCTCCTCTCTAAAATAAGCAGGCTAGGGACTTCCCTGGTAGTCCAGTGGTTAAAAAAGAATTCCCCTTCCAGCACAAGGGACACAAGTTCCATCCCTAGTCAGGCCTGTGTGACCTCACAGGCCACAGGGCGACTGAGCCCAAGCACTGCAACTAGGGATCCCACGCACTGCAACTAGAGAATCCTGTGCACTGCAGCGAAGAGCTGGCATCCCACAATGGAGATCCCGTGAAGCCAAAAATAAATAAATAAGCAGGGTAATTGCAGAGTCACCACAGGGATCCAGTGAAGGACAGTAGGTATCAAAGTGGCTTGTTAGCTTCACACATCCAAGGGGTTGTGGAAATCTGTGGGGTTGCCGCCGGTGGATCCTCATTTCTTAGGCTCCCTCGACTCAAATGGTATATTGCTGCCTCTGTTCCATTTCCCTCTTCCACTGTGTCTTCCTTTCTCTCATCTCATCCCCAACTTTGAGGGCTCCTCATTGGAAAGAAGTCGGTTAAAAGTTTAAACTGCAGTGAAAGACCAGGGGATGGAGAGAAGCAAGATTAGGGAGGGAGATGACCCCAGAGGATGACTGGTGTATGGATGGAGGAGGAAGGGGCCCCATGTGACTCTATGCTAATTGGGACTCTTTGGGCTGAATCACAGAATCTAATCCAATCTGGCTCAGATGAGAAAGAGTGCTGATTGGCTTATTTAACTGGGAGCCTGATGCCATCTTCAGGCATGGCTGGATCCGGAGGTTCTATCCTTTAGAACCTGTGTCTCCCTGCAGGTCTCAGTTCTGCTCTCCTCTGTGGCAGTTAAAATACCAAGGAGGCTTGTTCCACGTGATGGGGAGGATGGTCTTTGTTGAACTTACAGCTTCTAATTTCACAAGAGCCTCCCTCTCCCAGGGCCAGTAGCACTTTCCCCCAGAGGAACTCTGATTGGACCTTCCTGAATCACGTGCCCAGTTCTGGGCCAATTACTGTTTCCAGGCAGATGAGATTTCCTGATTGGCTGGCTGGAATCACATGGTCTGCCCTGGGGGCAGAAAGGCAGGGCCCTTGATTGGCAGTCCTACCAGAATCACCTGGAAAAGGAGAAATCAGTCCCCAGAAGAGAGAAAAGGGGAGAGGGCCATGAGGGACAGATACCCCAAGGCCACTTGCAATGTCAGGGTTCTTAACCTGGGAATGAGGTTAGGGGAAGACAGGCAACGGGCTCCCTGATGCTCCAATGGGACTCTTCCCACCAACACCTGATTCTTTGCTGACAAGGGCTGCAGCTCTTGCTACACTTGGCCCAATGGACCTGTTTACTGGGTGCTCACTATCTGCTAGGCATTTTAGCTACACACGGTCTTTTTTTAATTCTCTTCTTTTATTGGAATATAATTGCTTTACAATGTTGTGTCAGTTCCTGCTGTACAGTGAAGTGAATCAGCCATATGCATACATATATCCCCCCCTCTTGGAGCTCCCGTGCACCCCACCCCATCCCACCCATCTAGATCATCACAGAGGGGCAAGTTGAGCTCCCTGTGCTTTATAGCATGTTCCCACTCATTATTCCAAATCTCACTTAACCCTGTTTTGCAGAAATCAAGGCTCAGAGAGGCGAAATGACACATGTCGGAGCACAGACTTAAGGAAACAGTGAGTGTGCATCAAACTCTAAACCCTAGGCTTTAACCAACAGGCTCAACTGTGTGTAAGATGTTATATTTATTTACAATTACCTATGTAGTTCGTGGTTGGGGCCAGGAACTCTCCAGAGTCCTCACTCTACATGCACCATCCCATTTAATCCTCACATAATCCCATAAAGTGGATACTTTTGTTACTCCCATTTTACAGATGAAGAAACAGAGGCACAGAGGAATTAAGCAGTTTATAACAATGCCCGGCCAGGCTCCTTAGAGGATGCACCTAATTTCCCTCCACGCCAGTGTTAGCCCAGGCAGGTATTGTGAGTTTTTGCCGAATGGCATTCGCTCTGGTAGCAGAAAGCCCTGCAGAGGATTCAGTACACCAGCTGCCCCCAAAGCCCTGACATCACGTTTTCTGAAGAAAACTCTCTCACTGTCTCAGCTTCTTCATCTGTGAAGGGGCTCAGACTTGGCGCAAAAGCATGTTAATGCATGAGGGTAGGGGAAAGGAGATGAGAGCCATAAAGGAAAATAGAGACACAGTCCCGAAGAGGAACTTACAAAAAGGAGAGAG